TGCCCATTCCAAAGAAAGGTGATCCCACAGAATGTAGAAATTATAGAACAATATCATTAATGTCACATGCAAGTAAGATATTACTGAAGATAATTCAGAAACGTTTGCAGCTTAAAAGTAGTCATTGAAAAATGCTAGCAAGTGCTTTCTCTTCTGTTGTTAAGAAACTACTAATTCAGCATTTTAAGCATTCCAGTAGAATAGTGTTTCCAGTTGTTCTGTCTGTCTTCAATAGAAAATTACTTTGTTCAAAAGTAAATTGCCAATTGCTCTGATATTTTTATGGGAATATGTAATTTTGATCTACCTTCTAATGACTAGCACAGGAAGCAGTTTCAAAGAAATAAATTTACAGAAATATTTTTTTTCTTTTTAAATGAAAACCATGTTTTGTGAAAAGTAGCGATTCAATTACACATCTGCCTACTGTGCCAGTTTCACATAGAGTTGCTTTTGAAGCATAATTTCAATAACCTTGACAATGACTTGCTAGTCAATTAATGTTAAATTCCTATAGATTCAATTCCTTTGGGACTCATGTTCTTCGCATCCAAGTGAAGAAGTAAAATCTTCAGTGTTTCAAGTGTTTTTAACTATTGAACCCTTTCTTGAAAGGAAACCTTGCTAGCAAGCCCAGATAAAAGGGAAGTTGTTCTGATACAGAGGTGAGGGATGTGTGCAGGGCCCACATTGTGGAAATATCTGAAGAAATTAACTTCCCTCCTAGGCTCCTGGTTTCAGATTCGATCGATAGGCCATTTTTCTAAGTGTAGATGATGTTTTTAGATGCCATTGAGTTGATTCCAACTCAAAGACCCTCCATACAACAAAATGAAACACTGCCTGGTTCTGTGCCATTCTCACAATCATTGCTCTGTTTTGGGACCATTTTTGCAGTGAATGTGTCAATTCATCGCATTGAAAGTGGTCTTCTTTTTTGCTGACCCTCCACTTCACCAAGCATGATGTCCTTCCTCAGGGAGTAGTCTCTCCTGATAACATGGCCAAAGTTTGGTCATCCTTGCTTCTTCTAAGGAGCATTCTGGCCATATTTTTTCCACGACAGATTTGCTCATTTTTCTGACAGTCTATGATACATTCAATATGATTCACCAACATCATAATTCAAATACATCATCCTTCTTAAATCTTTTTATTCATTGTCCAGCTTTTGCATGCATAAGAGGTGATTAAAAATATCATGGCATGGGTCAGGTACACCTTAGTCCTCAAGGTGACATCTTTGCTTTTTAACACTTTAAAGAGGTCTTTTGCAGCAGATGGCTACTCTTTAAACTCTTTTGGACTCCTTGGGAAACATGATTAGCTGATGATTTTGATTATTTGCTTCATTTAAGTTCTAAATTTTTCATTTCACACAATCTATAACAGCTTCAAAGTAATATTTTTAGACTGATAAATTATAATTTTGAAAACTCATAATCTCAGATATATAATTTGCTGATTATGCCTATACTTTATGATAAATTCTATCTTTGAGCAGAATTACTATATGGAAAAAATACAGAATAATTAGCTTGTCATACAATTATCTGTTTTGGAGTAGAATGTAATATAAAACTAAAGGCATAGTACTTAAATAAAATTTTACTACTTGGTTTTCTTATAAAGGGATTAAATAGAACATGTGTTCTTACCCATTACTTTCATTACTTTCCATACTTTTCATCTTTACAATAAAAATTTAAAGGTCTTTTTCTTAAGTCTTTAATGAACAATTAATTTTTGTGGGTGGTCTGAGAACACAGCCTCAAGTCAGTAAATCTGGCTTAAAAGTCTCCTGATTGCCTAAAATCTTTGCAAGTCTTTTAACCTGTCCAAATCTTGTTTTCTAATACATATTTAGCATAAGATAATAGTACTTAACTACCTGCCAGGGAATGGAGAAGGGGTTCACGGTTAGAATGATATAAACACCTTCTTAAAATGTATTTATATATATGTACATTTCTTTTTCAACCCAAGAATCTAAGACCTCTTCACCACCCTACCAGAAATCCATAAGACAGTGAAAAGGCAGGCAGGAAAGGTGAAACAGTATAAATAGAATGAAGTATGGTATAGCAATATTTTATTTTTAAAGAAACTCCTCTCAATAGAGGGCATTGATGTCTTGTGATTAAGAAGTTGACTAGAGACTTCATTTTAAGGAGAAATGATAAAATATTGGGGTAAAAAAGAAAATGGAACATTAGGGAGATATTTTTAGTTATAGCGGGAAACTTGGGGCTCATGATGGCTACTGTTGGAGTCTTAATTGTCCATTTACTCATCTCAATCCATGCAGGTTCAATTTACAAAAAAAAAAAAAAAAAAAATCCAGCAAAGCTGGCAAGACTTGATCATGTACTATATTACATTGACCCCCCCGCCACTACCCAAAGGGGGTAATGTTGGAGTTTTTAGGAGGCTGAAGGGATTTATTCTTCTGTGCCAAGATGTCAGGTTAGCATCCTTCCATAAAAACTGATGGTCTCTGTTGGATGTAGAATTATTTTTTAGCTGTTAGATTATTCAAAAGAAATCAGAAGAACATTTGCTTCTTCCACAGTATCCCATAATCAGGCTATGCCTTTATGGAGTTCAAGCCTGGGCATATAATTTAATTATTAAAATTTGAGTGGATTACTTAAGGAGTAAAACACAAAGTTTGAGATACACAAATATCAGTGAGCCTTCCAAGTACTGGTATGTGTCCTTTAACCTAAAAATGATCCAGGCATTGGGGAAGAGTTTACATTAATGTGTGACCAAAAACTACAAAGAAATATATCACATTGACATGTGCTTTTAAACTTGCCTGGATGGTTTGATGTTGCAGGTTACCAGCTGACTTCCGCTGAGTGTTACGACCTTCGAAGCAACCGCATGGTTGCTGATCAATACTGTCACTATTACCCGGAGAACGTGAAACCCAAACCCAAGCTTCAAGAGTGCAACTTAGATCCTTGTCCGGCCAGGTCAGTCATACTTTCTCATTCATTTATCAAACATAAACCAAGTTCCAAATAAGCTTTTTAAATTAAAATTTAAACGTTTACAATAAAAATAAAATTGAAAAATAAGTAAGTATTGCTGTCCATTGTCCATTCTTAATCATGTATTTTGACTACCTGTGCCCCTTGCTTTTGCTGCTATATAATGCCATCTCAGTGTCTACGGAATTTATTTTCCATTTGTCAAGTAACAAGTGAAGCACTCTTGAAAGCCATTTCTTCTCTCATTTCTATTTATTCTAGTTATTTGATTCTCCCCTTAACAAGACACAGACCCATGAACTACTCCATGCTCTTAACAAATGTAGTAGTACAATGTTCTTAGGATGCCTTTCATTTTATCTCTGTCACCTGATCAATTAGATGATCAGAACAGATTACATTTTATGATCATAGATGACCCATTCTAGCCTGTGGGTGTTCTGCATCTATTGAATAGAAACAAAGCCAGTTTAGAATAGTCTTGTTCTGTTTGAACAAACATGGCCTTTGTTAGAAAGGGCAGGACTTATTTCACATAGTCGGGTTTCATTATTTTTTTAAAAGGTCCTTTTAATTAGGAGCTTTAAAGAGAGATTTTCACATGACATTGCTTGCTTTTTAGAAACCATCATTAGTCCTCAGATTATTTGCAGAATCAAAAACAAGGCTGATGGATGAAATGTTTCAAATGATGAGTAGTAATGGAAACATCAAAGCTTCCAAGTCATGGAAGTCAGAGATTCTTGCCAAGAATCTTTCCATGTACATAGCATTTGGCTTTGCAGTTACCCCATCTCTTGGAGATTCTTTTAATCTTTTAACCTCACTTACTCATCCTTAACTTTAAAGAGGGTAACAAGAAAACTCTTTCCTTGTAAATTTTTTCAAGAAGACCAAATGATAAAGAATCCTTTTCCAGACTTCTTGAGAAACACCTCAATGTTATTTTTTAAAGCCACAGGATACTAATTATATATACATAAAAGCAAAGCTTTTAAAATACTTCATGGGCAATATGATATAAATCATTTGATCTTTGCATTATAGGCATTGCCATATTAATGTTTGGTTTATATTGTTACCTTTTAAAAATTTTGTATTCTTGTACTCTTTCTGCCTTACATCCATGAATTCTAAATTCTACATTATATGTGAAATTGCTGTTACTAATTAGCCCATAGGAACTATACTCCTAACTCATATGAGAACTCAGAATAACAGGTTTTCTTTAAAGAAACAGAAAGAATAGATATTTAGAAACTGTAAAATTTAGATGACGTTTAATTCATCTAAATTAGCATATATTACATCAGAACATTGTATGTTGAAAATTGAATAAGGTATAAAACAAAATGAGGTATTAAATTTTGCTTGGATTGCTGTATTTTGGAAATATTAAGGGTTTGAGGTATTTTTAGCCAAGAAAATCATAGTCCCATGCAATTCATCCTCATTTAAAAGTATTCTGCTCATTATGTATCTTTATCCATACCTATAACAGGAAGACTAAAAAAAAAAAAAAAAAACTTACTGCCCTCTAGTCAATTCAACTCATAGCAACCCCTTCTTGGGTTTCCAAGGAGGTATTTCTATGGAAGTAAATTGCCCAATCTTCCTTCCGGAGACTAGTGGATAAAAAACATAGTTAGCTTAATTCAGACAGGTCTTATACACACTTCCGTGATAATGTATGTGTATTTCTAGAGGAAATAAAGAATTCATTTGCCACAACTCCCTACAACTTTTCTCCTAACTAGAAGAAATTTCACTGAAGATATGACCATGGAAGACAGTTTTGAAATAAAAGTGTTTTGCTAATTTTAAGAAAAAGTTTAATATTCAGAAAAAAAAAATTACTTTTAATGTTTGTTGTGTTTTATCCACTTTTTGTCTTCTCAGTTGCCATAACTTTTTTTGCATACTTTTCATTATGCAAAAGCAAAAGGCCATTCTACAGCCAGAGAAATCTGCCTTTGCAATTTATACTTTTTTTCCTTACCTATGTTATTTTAAAAAATCTAATACAGCACATGTATAAATGTTAAGACAGGTGGCTCTTTAAAAAGAAAAGTAGGAAAGGAAAAAAGAAAAAAAAGAAGAGGCAAATGTCAGTTGCTCTTTTACTGAAGAGATAATTAGACAAAGCTGTCAAAATTAAGACATACCACTAGGAAAGGTTTAGGGCAAAATACATTGTAGATATGGTACTATAAGGCTAAGCTATTTCAGGATTGCTGTGACAGTCATTGAACACATTTGCATACCTAGTATCAAAGCAACCCTTGTGAAATCGAGGGAGAATCAGAAATAATGGTCTGAGAATAGTAGATAGATGAGTTTCTACAACATAGGTCTGCCCTTCCATTAGACATGGATGAATCAAACCCTTAAGAAACTCTTTGCTAATTACCTATTTAATTTTTCAATAATAAAATTAAGAGTGCCACAATGACATTAAGCCAGGACTTTCATGTTCAAAATTAGAAACCACTTAAAAAGAAAATATAGAGATTCCTTGTACTGATAAAATCACATTTTTTTTTTAATTTAAAAATAAATTTATTATGTAGCTATTGAGATCCTTATTTATTCTTCTATATCACAATGGGAGTTTTGGCCTACTATGTATTATTTAAAACAAAATCCCATTCAGGATAGCCGAGTTTATTCCCCATCAAAAGAGGAAAGCACCATGGACAACAAAAAGAACACTAAATAATTATATATCTAGCCTTAGGCTTTTCATTTTGCCTCCCTGGACCTTAGTTTTCTCATTCACAAAATGAGAGTGGGAAGGTTGTTGCATTAAATTGGTGGTTTACACACTGTGTCCACAGAGCCTGTTATTCTACAGTTGTTTCATTGTGTTTCATTTTATATATTTTGTATTCTTTTAGAACCAGAATTCATTTAAAAAAAAAAGACATTCTAATATATAAAACAACTCATTTTGACCTACTCAAAATAAGTTTAATTGTAAAAAATTTTGTAAGCGTTGTAAAAATGTTGTGGTATCATTGTAATTACTTTGAATGTAACCCTTATGATTAAGTTCTTTGTCTGTTTAACTGACAAATAAACATCCCAAGAGTGGCAAAGTGAGCTGTAAAAATTGTTATTATTTGTGACTCCTTCTTTGTGGTAAGAAGAATTTTCTCAATACTACACATATAAAACCAAAACAAACCAGAAATACTGGATGCATTAACCATTAATTATTATTCCTGATACCTACTTTTTCAGTTTACCAAAATAGCTCCACTTTTCTCATTCATTTGCTTTATAATAAATAAATGTTAAGTATTTGAAAAAGACATTAGAATTTTGATAGCAAGTATCAGTAGTATCAGCTACACACAACATAAAGCCTTTCAATCACTAAAACATTTATAAATCACTTCTTGTTATTATGTCTATTAACCCTTCCAACTTCTAACTCAGTGATTGTATCAGTCATTACTTTAGTTTTAAGAAGTAAACCACAGCTTCCTAAATACATGTACAACTTCTGGGAATTCTCTTAAATCAAGAGTGGGATCTGGGACAGGCACAGGAAACCACTGGCATTGAGAGGTCTCTGAAGTATCTCACTCCTTACCATCTTTTCTCACTCCAAATCATTTTTTGTTTGTCATTATTCCTTTTGTTCCTCCTCCTTCCTTTGCTTTCTTTATCTCATTTTTGTTGTTGTTTCCTTCTTTGTTTTTCCTCTCATTTTCTTCTGTTTCCCACTTTTACGTGCTCACCAGCAATACCCACCAGCTTCCATGATTATGGATTAGCCCATCTACTGGTATCTTTTCAAAATAAGTTATTTTGTTGTTGTGGTTGTTGTTGTTTTGTTTTTTTCAACTGATTCCAGAAGCTAATTTGGAAACATTGATAAATTAAAAGGCTATAATGAAACCCATACAAATCATTAATTCCCAGTATTCACAGGTAACCACTCTGACTACTTTTGATGAATTTCTTTTCAGTCTTGTGCATAGCTAATGGCATTGGTGAATTTATAAACTTGATAATATAATAGCTGCTTAGAATTCAGTGACTGAGCATTCTCATTTTCCACTCTTCTAAAATGAGCCTGAACGTCCATGACATATATTAACTTGTCATTTTGCTGGGACAGGACTTTGAATCACTTGCAGTACAAGACCAACACTGAGTATAGCTGACTGCCCAGCAGTTTCATCCCAAGAGGACTTTATGGCTCTCTGCTGATGTCATTTATGCAGGGATTTGTGTTTACTGATGAAAACACTTTGTTTCTTAGTCAAAAGTAGTAGTCTCAAAAAGGAAGCCAAAATTTAATGCTCATGATGGAAGTGAAGATAAAGTGAAGTCAAAAAATCTGATTGCTTTTAGCTAAAATGAAGAATGTTTCTCATTGGTGACTCAGAGCTATGACTTTACTAACTCCATCATATGCTCTCTATATAAGATGCATTATATGTTTTGGTGGTTGTGTTAGGCTGCGTTCTCCAGAGAAGCAAAACCAGTAAAGCTTATATATACATATAGAGAAAGAGAAATTTATCTTAGGAAAATGGCTCACACACGTATAGAAGCTGGCAAGTCCCAAGTTCTTGGATCAAATGTTGAGCTGGAGGCTTTTCCCGACTCATGCAGCTGCAGAGGCTGACAAGCTCAAGGTTGGCAGGCAGTATACCAGCTGTTGACTCCAACGAATGACGAATCCAAGGTCTCCAGACTGAGTGGTAGATTGTTCGCTCCCGGACAGTTGTAGGCAGCACAACAGGGTCCTGATCCACAGAAGAGTGTCTCTTTTTCCCAGGATGTCCATAAATATATTGAAACCAGACCACACCCCTAGGGAAACTACCTATCAATGGATTGGCTGCTCAAAACATATACATCTGATCCCATCATGGGAATAACCCATATCACAATTGCTTAAACAACACAGAATTGTGTTCCAGCCAAGTTGACACACAGCTCCAACTATCACAGTGGTGGTCTCA